GTCCACACGGACCGCAAGCTCGACCCCCTTCCCATTATTCTGGAATTTCACGCTGATTTGTTAGCAACTTTGTTGCTGGAACATATTATATGCGAACGAACGCGAGAGCGTAACTTCTCGCGTGGGAATAATTTAACTTTCTAATTACGCATGCCCTTGAGTCAAACTTTATTTCATTCGCCTTAAAATCGGAGTACAGTTTTACGCGGCCGCAAGTATTTCATATTCTTTCTTACTATAGTTCGTTACATATAGTTAGATTACTTGGAATGCCGTGCGCGTGCCAAACTTTCTAGAGAATTTCTTTCAATTTTACGAAGGCTTACAAAATCTCGCGCGCATTCTACGATGACCCCGAGAGAACTCATGGTACCCTCAATCCCAGCGTAACACGCGAATATAAATGTGATTTTCCGCGGCGCCAACTTGCCTCCAGATTCCCGCTGAATCTCGACGGGTTGATCGATCCGCGCTCCGAGAACATATCGCGTATGTTGTTACTTATGGGAGTAACATTTCGCGAGGGAGTAATTAAACTTTCGCTCTTTGTACACATAATTCTCCTGGTGATATCAAGAGTTTACTCCCCCGATGCGACGCGTATTGCATCGTAGTAACCTCGTGTGTAACTTTCCGAGACACTAGTGACATTTTTTTAAGTCAAGCGCACGAAGGATTATCTCGAGAAGCTCGTATTTATGAGAAAAGTGAGAAGGAGAAACTCTTGTACATTCGAAGTATTTAAAAACTATTATTCAGCGATATCTGTTTCTTTTCTTACGCGAAGTAAACGCAACAAGTAAAAGATGATATTGCGGAAGCCGCTAAGTTTAGTCACTTTTTCCCCCGTTTAATAAATATCGAATGACGCGAAAAAGAAAAATGTACAACTCCCGTAATGCTCTCGATATTGATTCCGCTACGTCATCTACATCGAGATTCGTCACGAGTAATTTACACAGATAGATGGGAATTATTCATGAGCCAATTTAGTGCGCCCGGGTAAAATCAATCGCATCAATGCTTTCACGTAGCAGAACCGCGAGTTTGCTGCGGCTTTCCGCGAATACGTCGCGATACGAGAGGCGGATCGGAAAATTCGCGTGTGTCCGCGTCTAATGAGTCAGTCAATGAATTGATAGGACTCTCTGCCACGTCACCATATTTTCCCGATGCCCAGTTTGCCAAAGTTACTACATACGTCAATGACACTCTCCGACCCCTCCCGACCGCCGTCGCGAAAAGCATCCGATTGGAACGCAGCGAATGTGTTCGAGCCTTCGTTATGTATGACGCATCGATGAAATTTGCGGAGCCGCGCATTACGATATCGCGCTGATGAACGACGCGGCTTGTCAAATTACAGAGCGGCTGCAACGGCCGACTGTTGTCCGAGATAACGAGTTGACTTTCCTGATGCTGTATTAATTATCGGGACGGTGAAACAACGGTTAATGAGCAAAGAATCGATCAGGTATAGCCTAATTACTGTGTTCTCCTCTCTACAAAATTCCTTACGTTTCCTTCTTATTCGGAAATTTCGTTACTGCCAGAGAGAATCCACTTCGCGCTGCTGCTTCGCGGGATACTGCTTGTATTTTTATGGGCTTACATGTGCTCTTTTCAACGAGCGAATGTATAATTTGCATAGTACAGCAAGAACTCGAGAGAGCTCGCTATTGTTATTTCACCCGAAGATTTCTTATAAAAAAGTTTTTCATCTCTTAAACGTGTTTTATTATTTGATTAAAATTTATCACTGCATTTGGAATAAATGTTGCGAGATGCGTTAAAAATATTATAAACACTTTATTGAGCGGTTACGCAAAAGAAATTAATTCGTAAGATTCTTGAATGGAATTGTCGGATTTATTTTATCTTTCTATCGTCAAAATTGTTTTCGCTTCCGAATTTTATTTTGTGAATACATGTAGGTTTTTTTTTTTAGAAAGCGTGAGCATACGTTTTTTTTCTTATGTTATTAACAACGTTGTATGAGTAACTAAATTATAAAAATTTATTTTGACGATCTCTCCAAGTATTAAACAAATGCTGAAAGCGATGTCATTCAAAGTTTATTTGAACATGTCGCAGGATATTAAACTAAACTGTTGTCACGCTACAACGTAGTTGTGATTCTCTGCGTTAACTTAACTTTATACACAAATTCAGTCGCCTCATGTTAGTTTCTGCGCAAACTAATTGCTTCGCGCGGAGCACCCTCTTTTGCAGCTTTGTGAAAAGCAAAAAGATGTAAAAACATATGTAATTATAAATGACACAGTAATCGGACGTGAAAGATAAATTTGTTGGCGAATTAAGCCTTCCCTCATTTCCACTCACTTTTCTGTGCATACTTTTAAGATACGTGAAAGGAAATTAATGGAGATAAATTTATAGTATTTGGAGATAAATTTGTTTAATTTTAGTTATGTGTCTCTGAAATTAACATTTCTCTTATTAACTGCGAGGATATATAAAGATATTGAAGTGTAGGAAAAACTGACCTATTATCCTGGCTGGCAAGATAAAGCAGCGGAATCAAGGAATTTGTTGAATTAAGCCTTCCCTCATTTTCATTCACTTTTCCGTATATGCTTTTAAGATACTATGTAAAGGGAAATTAATGGAGATAAATTTGTAGTTTAATTTTAGTTATGTGTCTTTGAAATCAACAATTTTTCTTATTAACTGCGAGGACATATAAAGATATTAAAGTGTAAAAAAAACTGACCTATTATCCTAGCTGGCCAGATAAAGCAGCGGAATCAAGGAATTTGTTGGCGAATTAAGCCTTCTCTCGTTTCCATTCATTTTTCCGTGTATGCTTTTAAGATGTTACGTGAAGGGAAATTAATGGAGATAAATTTGTAGTTTAATTTTAGATATGTGTCTCTGAAATTAACATTTCTCTTATTAACTGCGAGGATATATAAAGATATTGAAGTGTAGGAAAAACTGACCTATTATCCTGGCTGGCCAGATAAAGCAGCGGAATCAAGGAATTTGTTGAATTAAGCCTTCCCTCATTTTCATTCACTTTTCCGTATATGCTTTTAAGATACTATGTAAAGGGAAATTAATGGAGATAAATTTGTAGTTTAATTTTAGTTATGTGTCTTTGAAATCAACAATTTTTCTTATTAACTGCGAGGACATATAAAGATATTAAAGTGTAAAAAAAACTGACCTATTATCCTGGCTGACCAGATAAAGCAGCGGAATCAAGGAATTTGTTGGCGAATTAAGCCTTCTCTCATTTCCATTCACTTTTCCGTGTATGCTTTTAAGATACTACGTGAAGGGAAATTAATGGAGATAAATTTGTAGTTTAATTTTAGATATGTGTCTCTGAAATTAACATTTTCTTATTAACTGCGAGAATAAAGATATTGAAGTGTAGAAAAACTGACCTATTATCCTGGCTGGCCAGATAAAGCAGCGGAATCAAGGAATTTGTTGAATTAAGCCTTCCCTCATTTTCATTCACTTTTCCGTATATGCTTTTAAGATACTATGTAAAGGGAAATTAATGGAGATAAATTTGTAGTTTAATTTTAGTTATGTGTCTTTGAAATCAACAATTTTTCTTATTAACTGCGAGGACATATAAAGATATTAAAGTGTAAAAAAAACTGACCTATTATCCTGGCTGACCAGATAAAGCAGCGGAATCAAGGAATTTGTTGGCGAATTAAGCCTTCTCTCATTTCCATTCACTTTTCCGTGTATGCTTTTAAGATACTACGTGAAGGGAAATTAATGGAGATAAATTTGTAGTTTAATTTTAGATATGTGTCTCTGAAATTAACATTTTTCTTATTAACTGCGAGGACATAAAGATATTGAAGTGTAAGAAAAACTGACCTATTATCCTGACTGGTCAGATAAAGCAGCGGAATCAAGGAATTTGTTTTCGTGCGACGGACAGGGCCATCATCCGCGCCGTCACCTTTGTCGTTATGCGAGCCCTGCGAAATCCCGTTCCTTAAACGTATGCATGACTCTCGACCGATTCGGGCCTGTTAACATATAAATTGCCGCTTAACGGCGAGACAATCAGTTTCACGGAAACTCTTGGGAAGAGAGTGACGTCGGAGACGAAGACGAACTGCACCGAGGACAAACGAGACAGTAAAGGCCAAAAAGAGAGAAGGAGGAAGAGAGAAAGGAAACGACAAGAAGGGACGATGGGGGACGAGGTCACCCCCGAAAGTAACGGAGAAGAGCGGTGGAAAAGACAAAGCGCGTGGGAGGCCGTCGAAGAGACAGAAACGGGGGTGTGAGTGGCATTCAATTCAATTTCCTAAGAAACTCTTTAGTGTTTGAGATACAGCCGCCGAAAGGATGCGCGTGAGGTTAGATATGTGGTGGAGATGGTGGGTGAAATCGCTCGTGGGGGGATGGAAGATGGATAAACGAGACGACCGTAGAACGAGGGAAGGAGAGAGAGAACGGGAAGTAGAGGAAGGAATAGGGATCGAAATAGAGAGAAATCCGGAGGATGGATGGAAGCGCGATCGCGTGGAGTTGCGCGCGAAGGGTGGGAAGAAGAAGAAGGACGCGACGCGCACCGCGCGTTAAGGACGGAGCGAGTGATGGAAAAACTGTGATGGGGAGTGAGTCGGAAGACAACTACAACGATAGAGAGCTGCATAAAAAGGGAAAGAAGTTCTCGTGTGAGTGCGGGGGCGGGGAATAAGAGGGTGAGCGGGAGGGATTGATATTGCCGAAAGAGAAGGAGGACAGTGAGTCAGAGCGAGGGAGAGGGGAAGGAAGAGAGACCGGGGGGGGGGAGAGGAGGGCAGGATATACGAGAGCGAGAGAGCGTGGACGGAAGAACGCGGGGATAAACGGAGACGCGGGGGAGGCGGGAGAGAGAGACTGACTAACTGACTGTGGCCGGTTATAGGGGGATGAAAGGGGGAGATAGAGCGCGAGGGGGAATAAGGATTCTGTGCGCGGGCGCGAAGCTGGCGCAAACTCTTCGTGCAGCATCCCTCGTCAGTTGCAAGTCAGGAACTATCGCGGCCGCGTGGTCGCCCGCCTTGCTATTCGTCCCGTTCTCCTGCCGATCTCGAGCGTGCCGATCGGTCGATCGATCGCGGAAGTATAAGAGCACGGTGATCTTTCGCGATTGAATCGCGATTTCGTGATTTTCCGATGTTATCCCGCGAAGCGACAGGTTCCCGCTCGCGCGACTAGATCGTTTTTTTTTTTTTTTTAATTCATGGGAAACCGCGGAAACGGAAACGCCGTGGCACCACCGATCGACGAACGGAACGTGTATATGTAGACGAGAAGCGGGACGTGCGCGTGGGTATAGTGTGACACGTAAGATTTCTCACAGGCAGAATGGATAAAGACTTTCGCCGGGATTACAGAAAAATGCAATGTGCTCTGCTTCACCTGCTGCTGATAGTAGGGGGTAAGTTTCATCAGGCGGCGTTAAGTTTGATAAAAGGGAAGATGAGATCTACCTTCGAGTGACACGGTTTCTCATCTATTAGCGAGATCATAAGGATGATCTTCCCATCAACTTCTAATCTCCGATCGTTCAAGTGAATTGTTCACCGCCGTTTCGCCGTTGATCCGAAATGGTGAACAAAGGAAGAAGGGGAGGGAGGAGGTGAAAGGAGTGTGTTTCTCCAGTTAGTGATTTTCGCACCGAGAATACTTTACCATCTATTTTAAATAACACTCTACGCGCGTAAGAAAAGCATCCTTGATGAAAATCCGGAAATGTGATTCTACTGGTTTCGTTTTACATTGTTGGATGACATGGAGAAGATAAAGGGGCGAAAGGAGGGGGAAGTAATGTTCGCTCTTCCGTATCACGCAAGAAGGACGGACGTGAAGCGCTTAAGTTCGCACTAAATTAAGCCAATCAGTCGTTAAAGGAGTCATTGGTACCTACGGTCTTCTACGCCCTTTCCAGTTACCCCGTTACTTGGTGAAGGACCAAGATTCGCTGATTCGAAAAAGGACGCGAAATATCTGCGTTTTCTTGGAAATGGGCGGTCGTTCGCAGCCATTCTACGATTGGCAGAAACTGCATTGTTACAATCGAGTTCGGTTCGGTCGGATTCGTCGAGATTGTAATCGACACTTTCGCTCGTCGACGCAATTCTCGATATTACCACTGGGATTTGCTAAATTCTATTCGTGCAAAGTATCGGTAACATTAGCAAAAAATGATGAAACGACACTGCTACCTTCGACGCGCTAAAATTTTGTTGATGGAGGTGGTTCAGATTTTTCTTTCTTATAATTTAAGTGACAAATTAATTATCTCTGCTTGACAAATTAATTATCTCTGCTTGTATGTGCTTCTTTTAAGCGAATCAAAGGAAAGTATATACTTGCTGCGAATTGAAAAAGATTGCGGGATGAATGTTTTGCTCTGATTCGCAGCGATTTGGACGCGAGCCATTTTACTAGAATGGCTCTTATAGAATAACAATTTCGGTATCAGCCTTGTTATAGACGAGCTCACACTAAAGTTTCGGTTTTACTTCGTCAAAGTAGGTCGAATGTCTCGCAGTGCTCATATACTTGAAAGAAACTGAAGAGTGATCTTCTTACAGTCTGCGTTTGTACTTAAATTATTTTAAATGACTCTTTTCTTTTCTCTTAAAACAAGTATTATCGTAAATTATCATGCATTGTCGTAATTCAACGTAACGATAAAATGAATATGTAGAATTGAAGGTTCCATCGAATTAAAGTTAAAATTTTTCGTGTTCAAGAAAGAGTATAACTCTGGCACGTAAGAGCAACTGCTTCGTGACAATCAGGAGTTAATAGAGTAAGTTAAAGTGAGTGGAAGTGAGTTGGGAGTGAGCGAGTTTTTCGGCACGTCCTAACAGAGTGATGTATGTATTCAACGATGCAAAAAGCGTAACGGGCGGGAAGTTCCGAAACTATTTGAGATATCGAAAAACCATTTCCGACTTTCGCGTTTATAAAAATTTAAAAAGTTGTGCATGTGTTGGAGATCTAGATTGACTAACCGATTGAACGAAGCAAAACGATTTATACCCTAGAAATTCAGACACCGTTTCTAGTTATCCTGTAATTGGACATAATTATCACCTTCTCTATCATGTTTTTTTTTCAAAAAAATGAGAAATATATATAATTCCTAGAGAATTATATAAAATTCAAATATATTACATATTAAATTGTGCATTTTTCATGAAATGAACGAACACGTTTGAATTTTTTAAAATATTCAATGTATTAATGTAATAAAATTTGTACGTATCCGAAAAATTCAGAAAAGGACTCTTTTAAAATTTTAGAAAATTATTAGTAAAAGAAGAAGTAAGAATAAAATAAAAATAAAAATATAAGAAAAATATAAAACAAAAATATAATGTATAAGAATAAAAATTATTTTTATAAACTTTAAGATTTTTAAAATAGAAAATATCTTATATTCCAAACAAAACATAAATAATGTTTTTTGTATATAAAAATAAAAGAAAAATAGAGGAAAAGAAAATCGTCAAATGCTTTTAAAATCGTTGTATAATGTATTATTTTTATATTTTATTCTTTCGAGAACTGAAAGGGCGGAGCCCATTGGACACGTTACGATTTGTTAAAGGCGGCAAGCGACCTAGTTAATCCACCGATTCGTCTGATTAAACTCGCAGTCGTATTTACATTTGCCATTATATGCAAATCTGTTAATAATAATTTGCAAACTAGAAACATAGTATGCTTTGACATACAGTGACCGGCAAAAATAAAAAGCCATTTTCCTAGTTATACTGTTTTGCTTAATGAAAGAGTAAAAATATTAAAACAATGAGATTTTCATTGATGAAAGAAGAAGCATTTATTATTTATTTTAAAATTTTATGTTACAATCACATAAATTATTTTTTACTTTTCAGTTTTATTTATATTTCTTAAATATTGCTGTTTATTATATTGACAAAATAAAAAAGCCATTCAGATTTGTTCGATTTAATATATACAATATTTTGTTTGGTTGTCATGTCAACATGTTCATGTTATTGCGCTCACTTCTCGTTGTTGTTAATCATTTTTGCAACATTGGCTTATCTCGATTATTACAAAAAATTCGCGGTCAAAAATGGGAGGAAGATCAATTTCCACACAAGTTCGAAACTTAATTGTGCGAGATATTCAAAAAGGTCTTTCCCAACGGAATATAGCCAAAAATTATGAAGTAAGTAGAGGAGCAGTAGAACAGATCAGAAGAAAATTTCAATCAACTGGATCGGTGGCAGATAGAATCGGAAGAGGTCGAAAACGAGCAACATCCAAGCGGGAGGATATGAAAATAATCCGTGAAGTTAAGAAAAATCCAAAGATTACTGTTAGAGAAATTCAGGAAAACATTTATCTTACTGTTTCTGACCGCACTGTACGTCGAAGACTCAATGAAGCAAATTTACACAGCCGGTTTGCACGTAAACGACCTTTCTTTAGCGTCACCAATAAGAAAAAACGTTTGCAATTTGCTCGGAAGTATGCAAATATGTCATTGGACTTCTGGAAAAATATTTTATGGACAGATGAAAGCAAATTCGAGTTATTTGGACAAAAGAAGCGGATTAGAGTCTGGAAAAAACACGGCGAAGAGCTTCAAGATCGTCATTCAGAAAACTGTAAAGTATGGCGGAGGAAATATTTTAGTCTGGGGATGTTTCTCATGGGCAGGAGTGGGAAATCTTGTCAAAATTAACGGAATTATGACAGCAGATGTCTACATTGATATAATAAATGAAAATTTGGAGGAGTGTTTGTTGAAACTCGGACTAGAAGATAATTTCATTTTCCAACAAGATAATGACTCGAAACACACAGCAAAGAAAAGTCAAGCTTTTTTTCGTTCCTGCCGAATTAAACAACTTGAATGGCCTCCGCAATCTCCAGATTTAAACCCTATCGAAAATTTCTGGGCAATTTTGGATAATAGGATTAATAAAAGCGGAGTAACTAACAAGAATTCTTATTTTGAAGCATTACAACTAGCCTGGGAGAATTTGGATCCACAACATTTAAAAAATTTAATTGAAAGTATACCAAAAAGACTGCAAAAAGTAATTGAGGCTAAAGGAAATCATATTAATTATTAATTAAAATAATATTGTTGTTTTTTTAAATCGTAATACTATGTTACCTTAACTGGCTTTTTTATTTTGTCACTCTTAAATAAATGATTATATAGAAATAAATACAGTATTAAATAAAAAATGATTTCTTTTTAATTAAAAACATTAAATTACTTAATAAATTTTCAGTTTTAGTTATAAAAAACTTTATAATGAATTTTTTTTACCTTTTAGCATCAAATCAGTTTTATAGTTAAGGTGGCTTTTTATTTTTGCCGGTCACTGTATATACGTGTCATATTTTTCTTATTATTTTCTCGTCATGTTATACTTTTCTAAACACAATATTTATCTTTTTATATATCATATAGAGATTGTATTATTTTTATAATCGTATCGTATAGTTTTTCCAAACTACATCCACACCGTATTCCAAAAGTTTCCGGGAAGCATGCCATTTTTGCGTTGTAGAACTAGGTTGTTTCCGATGAGACAGATTCTCTCGACTGAATATTTGCCCTCCGCTGGACCGCCGCTTTTCCACACGATTGCGTCGTGCCACGAGAAGGCGAGATACGTGAGAACTCTTCGAAGAGAGATAAAGAGAGAGATGGGAGAAGAAGTCGAGATAGAACAAATCGTGGCGAACGTGCACCGGAATGCAGACATATCCGAGATACACTCGCCTCTCCTTCTCGCCATCTTTTCGTAGATACTTTACCCTCCATGACGCAGTTTCCCCGCAAATGCGTTCTAAATCCGCATTTTCTCTTATTGGAAAATACTACAGAACGCTGAGTACGCATCGGTGACATGATTTATTTTTCTTTTGTAGAGATCGTTTTTAGAACGGAGATTTTTATACGCAACAATTTGCAGTCGCGCTCTTTTACCTTTATTTTTATACGCAAAGTTCGCGTGTTTTTATAAAAGCCCCGTATACCCCGTACACTTTTCGTGATCGTGCTTTGATTGCGCGAGAAAGGTAAGATTTTCGTAAAAGAACAGTACCCAAAGGAATTTTCCTTCATTTCTTTCTGGTACTAGGATATTTTCGAAATGAACGTGTTTGCTTCCGAGAGTGCACCATATTTTCGAATGCTTCTATAAACTCTGTTCGCTCCGCGAGCAGTTTCAGCATAAAACGTTTGTTGTCTTTCACAACTTTACCTGCCGCGCTGCTCTGCTTAGTTTCTTTCTTATACTTTATAGCCATTGTTAAACATTTTTAAACAAGAGATAGATAGGAATTTTGCGCTGTCCTCATGCAGTATATTCATTTCAATTTAAATACATATTATATATATATATATATATATATATATATATATATATA